TACAATTAATAGAATATGAACAACAAAATATTCTTGAAGCCTGTAACCCAGCTTGCAAACTATACTCACAGCTTACTGAAGAAATGTATGTTTTATCAGGATGCTGTGAATCCAGAAGCTCCCGTCCTGCTTTTCCCCCAATCTAGTGGAGGGCTGAAGAGGAGGAAGAGAGACTGGCCATTCCCTACAATAAGTGTTTCTGAGAATCAGAGAGGACCATATCCTTTTAAGCTTAATCAGGTGAGACAAACTGAACCATAAAAATGGCATCCAGTCGATTTTTTTTTCTTTCATCTTTTATCTTTAAGGTGTATTCAGAATTTTTTTCTTTTCTGCCATCGGTGACTTTACCAAAGCTGAATTCTGCTCCCTTCCATGAATAAATTGTTAGCAGTAGTTTTGGTCTGTTATTTAACATTAGTAATGTTAATAAAATTCTTTAGCCAGGCAGCTGTTTTAGGTTACAGTTAGTCCTAGCTGTTAGGGCTGTCACCTGCACTAATGTCTCTCTTTAAGTTATTTTCTTGTTTTAAAACTTTTATCATTGATGTTTCATTCTGTTCAGATACGCTCTAGTGACGATCACAACAAGAAGGTCCATTACAGCATCACTGGTCCAGGAGCAGATCAGCCTCCCATTGATCTTTTCACCATGGACAGGAATACTGGTAATCTGTATGTCACACGGGAACTGGACAGAGAGGAACAGGCGCAATACAGGGTAACTAGTTTTCTTTTTAATGCTGCTATAAAAGATGAATAGTTTTTATGTAACAATGTTAATATTTTCAAAAAATACTCAGATCAAAATTTGATGAATATAAATGTTTAGTCACCTGTGATGAAATCAATTAAATATAGTTAATTATAATTGGAACAATATAAACCCTAAACTAATAACAGAATAACTTGACCCAGAAAACATACTTGTTAATAAAATGAGATGTTCCTTTCTACAGCTTGTGGTTCATACTGTGGCAGAGGGAAGTGCTGAAAATGCAGAAGATCCTATGGAAATAATAATCAGAGTGATCGACCAGAATGACAATAAACCCGTCTTTAATCAGTCTACATATGAGGCAGAGGTTCCTGAGGCCTCACCCAAAGGTAGGTCATATATCATGTATATCAATCATATATCAAAAATACTTATTAAGACAAACTAATAAATATCTAAACTGCCTGTTATAATCATGATAACATTATGTGTGGAAAACTAGTTTACTGACTGAATGGTAGTGGGTCAGTGCAGGGCAGCTGAAAGGCTTTGCCAGGCAACACCAGCCTGTGTGCACGGTTTCTTTCATGCCCTGGAAATCTTTCATAGCTTTCTCTGTTTTATGTTGGGTATTTTCATCTCATCTATAGAATTTTGTGCACTAGTTGATATTTTCTGTACTTCATAAGAGAACAGTAAACATGGCAGGTAATATATGGCCATTTTTGACCTGTTGTATATTAGCCAGTCCCTAACAATTGTTTGCCCTTCCATTGTGGGAGGTAGAATAGGTTAGATACTTTGGAAATTCTCTGCCCTCTGAATCTGCTGGTAGTTCATTTGCCATCTCTAAGAAAGACTTCCTTTTTGCTATTCAATGCACAACATTCCCTGGATCAAAATCAGTCATTTTTGTTGGCCACAGTGCAGGATCATTGAAAGTAATGGCGTGATCTGTCTCTGAGCCACTATGCTCAGACTCTCCGATCAGACAGCAAGCCCCTGCAGCTGCACTGTCTCTGTTATGAGTAGGGATGGCTCTCTGTCTCCTCCTCAAACAGACGCTGTCACCCGCCGCCCCCCGCAGCAGTGACAAGAGAACTGCTACGCTGTCCTCTTTTATTTTTAATATTTACTCCCAAAATCCTTCAAGCCTTTGGTGTCATCTTCCCTTTTTCTCTTTTCTTTTTCTTTTCGGCGGACTTCTGAAAACCTGAGATTTTTAGTTTGAAGCAAAATTTACTTTAAAAGTTGCAGTCTGCCATTGTTGAATTTAACAGTAAAATAAAATGAGGTGTTTATGCCTCCATGTTATAAATTGAATTTCTAAATAAAAAAATAGAAAAAAAAATAAATGTTTCCATTTTAAAATCTT